GATTGTTCAATATGCCGCTGTTAACATGCTCCCCGAAATAATTTTTGTAAACGTTATTGTAGGCTATTTTAAACATCGGATGAATTAACATTCTAACCCGACGTATTATCCTCATAACAGTGTTTATATTTGACTTTAGGAATATATATCTTATATTTACAATTCTCCGGTCACGGTGTTTGTTATTGAACTCCTCCGAGACGTCCTGATCGATATTCATGACATTTTTTGTGTATATTTGATAGTTCTGACAATAGGTCGCTATGTATTTTCCACCCTTCTACTTTCACCTACTATTTTTAATCGCGATTTTAGTATTTTAGATTATAATATAATATATACAACTTTTTTTGTTAATTTGTGTTCACCCCGGTAACAGGGATGGAAAAAAAATGAAGATTAATTATTATTAGAATTTATTCAGAAAAACATCAAAATCGGTCCAGCCGTTCTTGAGTTATAAACGGTGTAACTAACCCGACTTTGTTTTATTGATATAAGATTTTTGTTCACTCAAGGATTGCCACGGAAAATAAAACTATTATAATTATTATTATTACTATTATTTAGACCATTTAAATTTCACAATACGACTAAAATACATATAGTCGGCCGAAGGTGAACTACTCACTTTCCGCCTATTTGTTTTCATTCAGTTTTAACACGGCCAACGACGGGTGCGGGAGAGTTAATATGTATATATATATTTTTTTTTTTTTTTTGCATTAACTTATTATCAATTATTATTAAAAACTTATAAAAATCTTTAATTAGGTATCACTGCACAACGAAAACCTTTTTATCACGTTTCGTGGTTTAGAGAGAAAACGAAGACGGGGTACAGACAGCGGCACGTTGGCGGCACCCTTAAGATATAACGCAATATTATACCAATGTATTTTTAAATTACTTTACATTCTCCCCTCTGCAGCACGGCGTTTCTATTAAATTAAATATTTTACACGCACGACGAGTATTACGGGATAATGTGTACGGTATACGTCCTATACGTATATATTTTGGTCTCATAAATTTAATGAACGGTATCTAATCGATAAATATTTTCATTATGAACCCAATTCACTATGAGTGCTTAGAAAACGTTGTTTACGCACGGGTTTAATATATCGTTATAACGTATGGTTCATCGCGTAAGTGCGCTGCAGGGAAATTTATACGTCAGAACTCGACGAAATATTAATTTATTAGGCAGGCACGCTAGACTAACAAAATAAACAAATTATTTTCATTAACTTTCAAAAACAAGAGTCGCGGCAAAAAAAAAACAAATTAAATAAACAAGAGTCCTGTATGAAAAAATTCGTTTAATTTCCAAATCTCTTTACCAGAAAAAATTTTAAGTCCTTTATGTATAACATAATACCAATACACAGTGTTATAATATAACACGTTGTGCTGGGCGGTTTTCAGTTTGTCTTTTTCAAATTTATTGTGTTTCGGTAGACGGTCGATCAATATTCGTGACTGATAATTTATCGCTGATAAGTTATCAGTATAGTTCTGGCCCCGTCCATCCTTCCAAGAAAAAATTGCGTAATAGTTATAATATATTCATCGGTGTGTTCCAATATTCCTTAAACAAATTTTTATTGTAATCGAAAGTAGTATTTTCGTCATAATAAATAGCTTGCAGATTTTATTTTATTTTTTTTTTAAAAATATACGTATAACTTTGGTAGAGTCATTATTTTCGAATAATAATATCAGTAATATTTATTTATTACACCGATTACAAGATAGATAATATAGACATACAAAGAATAGTTAAGGCTTTGGTTCTCTTTTCAAAACCAAGCTTGCGCTGAAAAGAGAGAGTTTGTGATAGAAGCGGTCATAAGAATTAGAATGAAATATGTAAGAAAAAAATAGTAAATAACGATAATAGAAAAACATTAATAGTATATAATTAATTACACGCTGTAATGGATAGTTGCATATTAAAAAGCTAAAACATAGAAAGCGCTAAGTTTAACCTAATCTGTGATTTTGACCTAGAGCTGGTACATATAATAATATTTAAATTGTACATAATAATAGAGCTAATATAACTATTTGCATTCCGATATTAATAAAGAAAGAAACTTAACATAACACTGTTTCGAATAAAACATTAGTTAAATATTTTTTATGTATATTATGAAACTATTAACACTATTAATATTAAAATTAAAATTAATACTAAATTTAATATATTTAACTCTTTAAATAATTTAATTGTAAGAAATAATGTGGGCTTATTGAAAATAAATTTGAGAAGTGAGTATAAAGTGGTTTCAAGATTCCGATAGTGAGATGATATGTTTCTCCCTAAAAAGAAATTCCATAGGAAATAATAGATTGTATTAGGGCAATATACCTTATTTTTTAAAATTTGAATTTAACTAAAGATTTAAGAGATTTATATGCATAGAAAAATGCGCTCAGTAAATTATTAATATAATTTATGTGTACATCACATTTTAATTTCTCATAATTTATTGATTTATTGGTTTATTTATTAAACCAAGGTATTTAATAGAGCAAACTATATTCAGTTCACTGCATTTGCGTTTACACTTTTTTTAAACTACGGCTGATACAACTATTAGTATAAGCAATGATTTTTTACTTATCCGAATGTATAGATTTTTGGATACCAAAATGAATTTAATTAGTTTTTTCTCTGTTTATCTCAAGTGAATTATTATCTAACAAATTTTTAACAATTTTAAAACTATCCTCAGCCATTTTATATAAATTATCTATACATGGACTTTTTAATAAGATACCTGTATCATCAGCAAAACAAATAATCTTTCCAGGTGTTTCTTGGTGAAGAAGTCCGTTAATGTATATTATAAAAAAATATTGGACTTAGTGCAGTACCTTGTGGTACAGAGTAATCAGTTTCTTGTTCGTTATTATACTCGTTGTCTATTTGTACCCCCTGTACCCGACCGTCTAGGTATGACTAAAATAATCTATACGCAGCACCTCTTATTCCACAATAGTAAAGTTTATTAAGTAGTATACTACGGTCAACTGAATTAAAAGCTTTATTAATATTTAAAAAAAATGTCAAGAACATGCTGCATTTTATCTAGGCTTTCATATACATACAGTGGTTTCATATAATGCGTTATTAGTCGAGATGTTGCCCAAAAAACCAAATCGGTTATTTTGAAAAAATGTATGATTTTCCAAGAACTCTAATAATCTACTAACAGACATTTTTCAAATATTTTTGATATAGTTAAGTGAGTGAAATGAGCCTGCAGTTAGATCATTTTGTTTTATCACCGTTTTTTTAAATAGGAATAACGACTGACTCTTTAAATAACTTAGAGAATTATTCTTTTGAAGTAAAAATATTAAATATTATAGATTAAGGGACAGCTATAGAATTAGCCGATCTTTTAAGAATATAATTAGATATTGAGTTTTTAGAATAAGAATAACAGTTTTTAATAGTATGGAATAGGTTAAGGACTTCAAGTGATTTAATTGGTTTTAAAAATATAGTGTCAGAAATATAAAAGTTCTTGTAAAGTGTATCAAAACTTACACGTTGTAAGTTATTACTCATAATATTTTTAGAAATTAAGCTACCTACTTTAGAGAAAAAACTATTAAACTCATTAGCTATGTTTTGCTTATCAGTTATTTTTTCACCACAATTCTTTATTATGCTGCTAATGATTGTTGAGTTTGTTCGTTTGTTACTATAAGATACATATTTAATTAAATTCCGTATTTTTTTTTTTTTTGTGTCCAATTCCTCAAGTTTTATAAGTTTTTAATAGTTAAGATTCCTGACTAGTTTCATTGTTCTATTTAACATATTCTTATAATTAACATATTTACATTTAAGTAACGTATTAAATGGTTGTTTGCGTAATTTTTTATAGAATTGTTCACGGTTTCTAATTGACGTAATTAACCCTTTTGTGATCCATAGTTTAATTTTTTTTATTTTTAGATTTACAATGTTTAATGATGGTAGAAGATAAGTTAATAAATTAATTTAGAAACTAGTTAAATCTTTCAAGAATAGTGTCTATATAGTTATAGTTATGTAGTGTGTGGTATGATCACTAACTTAAGATGATCAAAATTAATAAGGGTCCGTTCAATTTCAAGACCGCTGTCACTTATCATTCTGTACTTTGGTAACTCGTTAATAATAATAGGGCTAAAGTGATCAGTTATATTACATTTAAGGATATATTCAGTAAATAATGGATCAATGATAGCGTGATCAGCTGTTGGCTGAATTGAGGCTTTAAACTGTTTTACGAAAATATGATCAATACAAGTTTTAGAATTTATACTAGCTCTAGTAAAATCATTAGTTCTCGAAGTACATCAAAATGCACTTAAGTATTTGAATAGGTATTAGAATCACTAGAATTTGAAAACAAATTGATGTTGATGTCGCCACAGATTATATGATTACTATTAAAGTTACTCTCCGAAATGTAATTACCTAATAACACAATAAACTGTTCAGTATTATAACATTGTGATCTATAAATTCCTGTAACTATATACTGAAACACATTTTTATTTGCTGATAATTGAATTGAATTACAGTTATTAATAATTTGAGTACAAATTTTATCAAATGTTTTACATTCATTACTCATAAGTACGGTAACTCCGCCAGATTTATTTATCATTCCTAAATAATGAAACATTTGATATCCATTCATTTTTATAATACACTCGTCTTTCATCCATGTCTCACTTAAAACTATTAAATCAAATCTGTTATTTATGGAACTTAAGTATACTATTAATTCATTAGTATGGGCTTTAAGGCTACTAATATTCACCGACAAAACACTTACACAGTTATTTTTAAATTTTATATCATCAATACAATCGACAGATAGAGTTTTAATATTATTAATCGTATTGATTACAATTGATCGATTGATTTTTCAGTATCAATTGATATTAATTAGAACAAGTTACTGATACGCACACCGTACATACTTTCAGATTTTTTCCAAAAAGACTCCACTTCCATTTTCCCACACATAATCGATGTTATATTTCTTTGAAATTTGTTTTGCAAGCCAAAACATTTTTCTATTCACCACAGATAGTTGCTCATTCACATAAATGTGGTTTTCAGGAAAACTCTTATGCATTTTTTTGACGAGTATAGGTGTTTTTGTTTTGAATCTGGATTTGATAGCACACAATAAAGTATTCTTCACTTCATTGTCATTCAATTCAATGATAATACGGCTGTTATTTTCATCTTTATTTCTTATTCGGTAGATTTTATTTAAATTCTCTTCTTTCACTTCAACATTAACAATTTTAGCTAGCGTAAATACTACTAGCTTCAAATTTTCATTTTTTGTTTTAGGTGCACCGGATATATGCAGATTGTTAGCGAGTTTAACCTGTTCGGAAATATTAATTTTTCCTTTCAAGATATTAATTTCACGTTCAATAAAAGACATTTTGTTCTCATAAGCATTATGCCTAATATCATTATCATTTACTTTTTGAACTATGCTCTGTAATTTTACATTAAACTCATCAACTTTATCAAATAAAAAGGACATAATTTTGCAATTGCTTTATATGACATAGATTATTTGAATTAGTCAGTATTTTAGCAATCGAATATTTTATTTCATTAATATCAGAAGAATTCATATTACCTACACTATTGATATCTATTAATTTGTTATTTTCTTAACGTTGTTTTCTCGAGGTGACTTTTTTTTTTATATAATTATATTTTTATCATATTTATCAAATATCCAGTTTTCCTGAACATTTTTGTTTGTATTAAAATTTGATAAACAGCTTTTGTTAAAAGACTGTCCACAAAAAAGCCACGGGATTTTTTTACTGGCGAAACGTTCGATCTACAGTCGTACACAGCATTATAGATAAGAGAGCGAAAATAACTATACATCAGTATAGTGCTGATCACAGCACACGACCGCATTAGACAGACCAACAATCGTAACTGAAAAAAAAAAAAATTGAAAACAAAAACTATTCCCTTTAAAATTGCCATCATTAACGGCGATGTACCTCTTAAGAAAACCTCTCTAGAATTCAGCAATCGTCAATCATGAAATATTATTAATTTATTATTTACACTATCAGTACGAAAAAAAAACCGTGTATAATTTTAGACGATTTTTTTTTTTTTTAATTATGCGAAGTGGCTTCGTATAATGTTCATGTATAGTCCGAAAACACAAAACATAATGTTATAAAGACTACGACGCGATGACGAATGGATTAATAAAATCCGTTTACGTGACTTCTTGTATTATTCCTTTTTTTTTTTCCCCACCCGACCGTCTGGCGCATTTTTTTTCTGCGTGTCCCCAAACACTTTGTCAACATTAAAGTTATGCAACAGACGTCAGCAATGTTACTTTATTAGCCGAGTTTATCTTTCGGGATGTGCTTTAAATCTTCGTTAACGTCCAGACGAAATGATACAACGTTAACAATATTTTACCCTATATATATATATTATTTTCGTGTCGGATTTACGGTTCGTAGGGTGAAAAAAAAAATGAAAATTAAGTGCCCGTAGGTTTTAAAACTAAAAGGACACTTTTATAACGCGCATCCCAAACGTATACGGTTACTATACGGACCCGCAACGTTATAGGTAACGCGCAAGTGTAATATATTCCTATGAATATCCTTACACGTAAGTAGGTATATTATAGGTTAGCATTAGGCTAGGCACCTGTAATGTATACGAGGTTACAAGATATTTATGGAGAACGTAGCGTTTTTTTCAACGGCGGGGCGGTATATGTGTGCGGTATAATACGTCCATAAAATACTTTATAATGCGTTTTAGATTCCGTGTGTAGCGAAAAAGCTATTAGTTTTACTCAAATGTGTTTTTTTTCCCGCGGAATACACTTTTTCGCATATAGTATAAATGCTCCGATTTTCGCGCGGTATGGATACCCTAAAAGATGCATAATGCACACCCGCTAACGTATTATTTACATACCCAGCCAGAGTTCGGTATGTAAATAAATTTTCTGAACCCGGGCTTTAATCGACTGGAACCGAAGTTTTGGACTTACGTTGAGGACACCCTAAGCGTCATAGGGTTCGGACAAACAGGTGGACTAAGTTTTTAATTTCCGTTTTTTAGAGCATCAAAACTCTAAACGCGTTTCTGGGCTAGGTTTTTTTAAACTTCGCGTCCACAGTATTAATGCATTTTTAAGTGTACTTAAAAATAAGTGTACATTTTAATTATTTTTTTTTTTTTAACAAAGTAAGAACTTCTAAAAAAGTATAACGTATGCGTGTTTTACAACGGAAAAAATATATAATTTCTTATTTATTTTCTTACATAACGCCTTTCACATACATTATTTCATTTTATCCTCTCGTTTTATATTATTTATATTTTAATTTTTTAAGAGATACATTTTTCTTCTTTTAGAATTTCTCTATACGCGCACTATATACTTTGAAAACCGTACTACTGAAATTGCCGTCCTGTGCGAGACATTTCCCGTCATTCGCAGGAACCTCGTAGGATATTCGCAGTGTAATAATTTATCAAAACATATGACACAAATGTTTTATATTTGAAAACAAAACCGAGTAGGTAGGTACCTACTGTCAACTAAAAATATAGTTGAAGAATTGTTTAAACCCAACAACAACGAAAAACAAAACCCCCCGTATAATCGGCTGTAAAATAATATTATTTATTTAATAAAACGATTTCCGCGTACATAATGTTCTAACTTCGATTTTCAGAATAGTTTATCGAATATCGCTCTTCTTTGACAACAATAAAAAATTAGCTAGAGATATAGTGGATAGTGACCATGGTAAAATTCGAATAAATCTAAAAACGTTTAGCTGAAAAAATCTGAAAAAAAAAAAAAAAAATTGAGACCTATTCGAATAATATAACACAAGAAGGCAAAATACTATACACCTAATACATTATACGTCCTGCATCCAAACAACCATTTCGTAACTTGTTACCTATCCCGAATGTAGGTACACTTAATGAAAAACAAATATACTCGTATATTATACTCGCATATGAAATTATATCGTTGAGTTCAACATATTTTACATTATGTTATTGTCAAAAAACGACGTGTCGAACAGAATAATCTATATATGCTGGTTATGGGATATCGTGTAAATGACATTTTAAAAAAAAAAAAAAAACTTTCCGTATTGTTTAAAAAATCAAATAGTGTGTACATAATAATTTGCATGATACAAAAAAAAAATAAATACACTATTGTTTCAAAAAAAAAAAAAAAAAAAAAATAACACCATAATCGGACACAAACTGTTATAACTATAAGCTGCCTGTATATAAATATATACATTTTTAATTTTCATAAAGTGTTGGACATACGAAGTTTTATGTTTTCTGTTAGTATTCAATGTTTGTTGTTTAAGAAAGTTTTTTTTTTTCATTGTATAATATCTATTATTCGCATACCAATACCGATAAAAAATAAATAAATTCGCGATTATTTTTTTTCGACCCCGGACGTACCTTTACCTCATTGTTATAGTATATAGATTGCTGTTTGGCAATGTGGCATTGTTTGAAATTTTTAATTAAAATCGTTTGACACGAATGAACGATAACGTTTAGAATAATTGAAAATATGATAATGGCTTGAAAAAAAAAAAAAACCAATAATAATAATAAATGTATGCCTTCGATGTTTAAAATGTTTAAACACCTACTTACCTATATTAAAAAAAAAAAAACCCTGATAATATAATTGTATATTTTTTTTTGCTCTTCTCGTAACAATATGATATACTTGCTATAAGCCACACCTACAATATACTTATTAATATTATGTTAGACTGGAAAAACAAAAGTTTTCAATTTTAAATCTTTTAAATAATTTCTAATGGTCGCGAGTATCAAATTTATAAAAAAAATTAAAAAACAGGTATTCGATTAAGTTTTTAAGTTAATTATAATTGTTTTTGTCACAGTTTAAATACTTATATCTCTTTCTCGAAAAAAAAAAACAATAATATGCAAAAGTAATAAGCATAAAAACGCATAAACACACTGATATTGAAAAGACTTCGCTGTATTATACTTTAATGTATAATGTATATTTGTACGCAACTATTAACCATTGCTAACAAAAAGTGATTCTGAGCGGAGTTCGGTTAATACTGTTGCTTTGTCAATAATATAATGTGTTTATATCACATAATATTAAAATAATTATATATGCATTCAATATTTTCTTTAATAATATTTGTATCTATTTTCCTGGTTTTCACTATGTTTATCCCATTTATAGAGAGAACTACTGGGGAAACAAAAAAAATACTTCCCTAATAAAGCACCACTGTCAGAAAAAGTGCTATCATTGTAAATTATAGTTAAATTGCTGGTTGAAAAGTCGTTCACAGGAAAAAAAAGGCCGTATCATGTTTTTACTAATACCGTACATTTTCTCGTTTTTTCCCATTTACTGGGAAAACTCCTGAGAAAATTCAAAAAATTACATCTTTACAGTACCACTCAAGGAAAATTCCTTTTCAGAAAAGGTGCTGTTCTTGATACTTTGGAGCAAGATTTCTAGTAGAATTTTTTTTTTACACAGTATGAAAAAAAAATAAACATCTTCGTAAAACCATTACGTAAATACATTTTCCGCTATACTCAGAATAAAAACAAAATCCTGGTCGAAGAGCGTGTCTGTATAAAAATTCTTAACGAACAACTATAGGTGCAGTAGTCAAAAACATTTCTGTTACTTTTTCAACGCGCGTTTACTATTCTAAGGGTTCAACTAATTAATTGCAACGAAACGTTGTAGAACGAAACACATCGCGTGCGGTTTATTTGCAAAATTCAGCATACCTATTGTAGTCACCACTTCGAAATTCGTAATTGTCATATTATTGTTATTATTACGTATAGGAGAATAGGCGAAGTGGCGGATATTGTGGGAGGGATCAATTGATGGATCAGCCCCCTGCCTACTCGGTATTATTGCCATCACTATATATATTGTTATCCACGACTTATTATTTCAGAATTCATATTTAGATATAGGAATTGACGATACTCATCGCCCCGCGGGATGAAGGTCTTACATGATCACCGGAGGACAGTGGCGTGCTGAACATTTTTCGTACTTGAGGCAAAACAAAAGAAATTCGGACCCACCCGGTTAAAACATGGATTTTTACACGAAATACACACGATCGCGGAAAAAAACTTTATTTAGCTGTATTAACCACATAATAAAGGCCATCGTATTCGTAATTAGACACTTATATTAATAATATAATACGCAATACTCGTTCGATACATGTGGTCAGTTGCCCACCCACCCATTTCGGTCGTGAGGCGATCGCCTCAAAAGAACCAACTTCGGCACGCCACTGCTGGAGGGAATGTGAAACCCCGTGGCCTCTGCGGATTCGAAGATCGCCCAGCCCCCCTCCCCCCTAATTCCGCCTCGGAACCAGGGATATGTCCGCCGCCGAACAGCCGTCTGAATCGCCGTGTCGATAAGACCGTCCGAACGGCGTCCACACGACTGTG